GTAAAGATAGCATGTTTTTTAATGCAAATTTTCTTTTTAACAGAAACCTGTTATCAGTCATTCAAAAATGATATATGATTGCACATTGTATTAAAGAAGCATGCCAGGGTAAAAACTACCACAATGTTCTGTGATATTCCTTATCAAGTAAAGCCCAAATTTACTGAACTTCATAGAGCAAGACAGAGTTCTCGTCTTTTGTGTGTGTGTACTTCAAATAGAAATTAATGTAATCACTTTAGTCTTTTCCACCCACCTCTGAATGTCAACTTCCTTAAATTGAATAGTATCATAATTGCAGAATTTTTTTATCTGCTTACATTTTTCAGTACAGCAACAAAAGTCCCTAACTTTCCTAGGAGAGAAAGGGATTATAGCTGTTTTCAAAGCCCGGATATCCCTCTGTAATATCACTTTTAGAGTTTATTTGGATTGACACATTAATTTCCTCTTAGAAAAGCAAACAAACAGGAGAAAAACAAACAGGAAACTCCTCCCATCCTGTGACTGGGAAGAGATGACTGTAAAATTTGTCTTTACTCATCTAATCCTTCTAGGCAGATCTGTTTCTTCCATGTGCTGTCACATTGCTTTTAAGGCCAAGCAGCTCATGTTTTCAGAAGAGCTGTAAGGGCTGTCGGTTACTATCACCATCTTTTTAATCATTGTTAATGTTGAGGTTTAGTAAATGGATTGGTATAACTGTTTCTACTTAGAGATTGCACTTTCTTCTTAATGTTTCCCTTTCCTCCACTCTTCCCTTAAGAACTTTCCCTGCACTATGCCAGCTAGTACTGTTCCAAGGGGAGTCTATATAGTTACAGCAGACCAGCTTGCTTAGAGCAGAAGGTTTTTTTACAGTCACTGGCCTTTGCACCTTGCACAAAGGTAGGCAATACCAGACTACACAGCTGACATTAATTACGTAATGTGATGGGAAGTGAAGACCCTCCCCATGGAAATAAATCACACTACACTTTAAGTTAAGCAGCTGGTTCTCACTGAAATACTTGTTACTCTGGAGGGCTGGCAGACCTGAGACCAAGACCTTGGCTATAGCAGGTGAAAGAGATGATGAGAGACTGCAACACTCAAGGAAGAGATTCTCCTGCACGCACTCTCTTAGTGTGTTGGTGTGTCATACTAAGATGTGGTAGCAAAGAAAGTGCAGGATGATGCCAGTAGAAAGGAAGCTAAAGGAGAGGAAATGGCAGCTGCTGAGGCACTGCTTTCAATAAAATTGTTATTGAAAATAATCTTTAGGTATAGTTAAATGTTAACAGTGATATTTTTATCCTTAAATCTTGGTATCCCTACATACTGAAATCATAATTTACCCGAAGTGTAACAGAAAAGAAAGTTTGTTCTGATAAGTAGCAGTCCTTTAGACAATCAAGTTCACTGTTGGTGCAAGTGATGTATCTCCATTGACTTCGACAGAATTTTAGCCACTCATGGTGATAAGAAGCTTGGCCTTTACTATTTAAAAGTTCAATAACAAAATGATAAATAGTATGAGTAACTTTAATTTTATATTTGAAAAGTGAGACGTTGATAATAATGATTTTCCCAGGGTTGACACTGGTTAAGTCTAGACTTGAAGAAATCACATTCCCAGACATACTCTTGTCAAGCCTAAGGCATGGATTTACAAACACAGTAAGGGTGAAAATGTGCAAGCTATATGAAGGTGCCAGAGTGGAGTTTCAATTTTGCTGAACTCTTGACCAAAGGGAGAGAACATGAAATATGTGAGAGCACTGATAGCCAGAATATTTCTGTCTAAGGGAAAGATCAGTGACCACTAGTGGAGTGAGGAGTTATGGCACAGTTGTAACTAAAAGCTGAAGAAAGAGTAAACAGTCATAAAACTCAAGTTTCTATTTAGTCTGGGCAAGTTTGAATCCCAAAAGAGGGAAATTAAAGACACTGGATGTCAGAGAAGCAGGATGAAATAAAACTGAGGGCAAATAGTTTAAAACATTTTATAACAGCACGTAAGTAACCTGTAGAAACCCTTTTGGAAAATATGGTAATTAGAAAGCTTACTAAGAACAACAGCAGTAAACATTTATATTAACATGTGTCCAGTTCAAAGCTTAGAAAATAAATATTTAGCTGGAAAGCTTTAGGCTTTCAGTCATAAGCCAGCCTGTCACTGACAGAGCATTTCCCTTAAGGACTGATGATTACATATTTATTACTTTATTAGTCATTATTACAAGGTCTGATTTAGCTTGTTGAAACTGAAGAGTTGGACCTTATACTGTCAATTTAATCCAGTCAGGCAATTCCTATATTGCGCTGTGCTGGCACAGAAAACTGAATCTTCAAAAAAACTATTTCTCTCTGGACTGCAGGCCCAGGATATGTATACTGCACAACCTTTGCTTCCTTATTTGTTCAGTTTGGACAGATACCAAAAGATTTCTGGAACTTTTTGTTGTCTGCCAGTAAAGAAATGGTAGGCGTAACCCTACAAAGAATGCTCTGATTGCTTAGTATCTCATTAGCCTGATCAGCTTGGAAGGAATCATTAGAACAAAAATATACTATCCTTTGTAAAGAAATGGGGAAATGATAGAGTTATGTGTGCTACCGTGCTGACAAGGCTTGTCTGTGACATTTGACATTGACTGGCATAGAGCTTCTTGCGTACTTTTGGGAATACCAGCAGTAGTAGCTACATCCCTTAAACTCCCAAGTATTTCTGCATGAATGAGTGCAAACTATTGAACTCAGAAGTGAAGTGGTTTCAGAGAAGTTGTGTGGCTACGTTATTATGCCACTTAACCCTAGTTGCTGTTTTCAGTGAGGCTTTTTGTGGGATAACATGGCTACGTACTTCTGGACTAGAATTAGATTACTTCCAGCATTTTAGCAGAGCAGACAGTGCAAACATGATACCATGGTGCTCATGTGGATCTGTCCCGAGTGTTCACAACTGTTCAGGGGTTGAACATAAGCAGAAATTTGTGTACAATCCAATCCCCTTGAAAATATCCTATTGTGTGTAACAGCCATTGTTAGTCATACAGCTTTTTCAGGAAGTCAGTGAAGCCAGGTAAATCTGTAGAAACTTGAATCCAGTGTGGACTGAGGAAATTAGCCTCTTCATTGACCTGAGTGTTTATTTGTTGTTTTGAAATTCTTTTTTCTGTCTTTACCAGAGAGCTGTCTAGTGATGTAGGACCAGGGGGAATTTTAGGCTAAAATAAGAATCCAAGACCTCTTTGAAAGTCAAATGTAATATTAACATCATACAGCTGTGGATAATTCTTTAAAATGGTTAAAATCTTTTCTTGAGGCAAAGCATGTTTAATTATTGCTCCCAGAGCCCTCAAGAAGCAGTATGTGAGGGGAATACCAACACTTGCGACTTGCCAGGAAAAACTGTACTTCCAGAGTATCAGACAAAATCCTCAAGTAAATATGATTCAATACCTTGTTTTGTAGTCTCTAAGAGAAGTCTAAGAGAGGACATGATATTAGGATGGTCACATACAGAAAGAGTACAGAGAAAGCCTGCCAGCTGCAGCTATTTGATTTGGCCCTTTATAACAGACCACGAGGACACTCAAAGAAGCTGTTTTAAAATTGAATTGCAGTAGCATTTAAACACGATGAATCATCTAGAGAAGGTTTGTTGTAGTTTACAATTAGTCTTGTCCTTTAGTAATAAAAAAGAAGACACTTAAAGCTGAAAGACAACAATCGTTAAATCAGGAAGGTAAGAAAGTAGATTACCTAAACATTTAATCAGTTCACAGCAATCTCATGTCTACAGGCTATTATTGAAGCAAATAGCTTAGTAATTCTTTAGAAAGATGTCAGAGTGAGAATAGTGAAAGTACTTATATTAATCGAGATTGTGGGAAAAATCTAATTTTGTTAAAAACAAACTGTATTATACAGTTATTTGTGCTGCGAAAGTAGGTTATGTTTTCCTCTCAGACATCAGCAATAAATACTATTAGAAGCAGGATGCTGGACCAAATAAGTAAGAGACGTACTCATAACTTCTTCTGCCCTTTCCTGAGCATTGTTTTCAACTGGGCTTGCTCCAAAGCTTGTTTATAGTTCTGAGGTTGAATCAGACCCTTTATAGGCTCTCACTGGCTTCAGTTCTGCTTGAGGAGATCTTGCCAACATTTGAAGCCACCTGCTTGGACCAAAAAGTCCACCTTTAAAAGCAAGTACTGCAGAGTTCCTCATGCTTGTACTTCAGGTGTGCATGCTGGCTGTAATTGATTTGTTCTTAATACTTCAATGAGAATAAATTGCATCCCTTTCTAATCCAGTCTAAGACTTCTGCAGAAACATCAGTACATAGTCATATTAACAGATAATATTTATAGCTTGTTTTGGTTTGGTTTGGGTTTTTTAAGTGAGGTTCAGGTATTGATGATTACATTAAAATGTGCTTATTTATTTGCATAGGTTCAGACTGCTATTTGGCAGACCAAATTAACACAACCTGTTTGTATCTGTAACCTTTATCAGTAGAAACTACCTACTGCTCTGTCTTAATCTTCAGAAAATTTAGGCACGATGATGATTCAATAAACAAATCCTATCACACCATTGGGTAAACTGCATATCTTCCTGTGCTTGGAATAGTTATTAAGGGAGATCTGTCTGTCCTTCCATGAATTATTTATAGTAAAAGTGAAATATGTCCAGAACCATAGTTTGCAAAAGGTTACTGTCAGCCTGACTTCATGTTTAGGCCATTTGTTTTATCTGTAGGATCTGGGTATACTAGTGCTGGCTGCAGTTCACTCTAGAGTCGTTTTACCATTATCAGAATCCAATCACGTACAATAATCACTTCATGGCAATCACAAGATCTTTATGCCTTGATCTGAAATACGAAAGAAGAAAACAAACATTAGAGAAGAAGGAACATTGGGTAGGGCTGCCTGAATGGTTTGAATTAAGATAAATAGGCACACTGCATGTGACTGGCCACTGAAAATAATTTCATTTGGTTCACCTAGAAAAAAGAAGAATGGAGAAGAAGAACAGCCAAAGTCCTCTCTCAGTAATCAGTACCGAATTGTTACGCCCACATTCCAGTATAATATGGACTACAAGAAAGTTGGCAAATGTATTATTATAAACAACAAAAATTTTGAAGACAAAACAGGTAATGTTCTTTCTTTGATGATACTCATTACAGACTTTAGAATTTTTATACTTTCATTAAGCAATAAGTGTTTTATTTTTAGGACGTGAAATTTTAATGAATGTATTTATCTTTTTTGAGAAGTAGTTGTTCCTACAATTTATTCCTGTTCTTTAACACTTGTATTAGAGCGGCACTTTGCAGCATATGTTTCAAAGAGCATGTCACCTTGCTCTACCAACTTCAGAATAAACCTTTGTCCCAGAGTTTAAGGCTGTGTTGTTAAAATTTGAACTTTGGCATCTGCAGCCCATGCTATATCTTCTCTGTCCCTGAGCTACAGCTATGAGCTACAAAAGCTAATAGCTGTAGCTGTGCTCTGTTTACACTCCTGCATTTAACTTTTCAGACCATGTATGGTTTCAAAGCAGACAGATACTTGTGTTATAGTCAACTTTATAGGTCTTTTCCTATATACTTGGCAAACACACTAAATGACGTGTTTACTCCAAAGAATGTACATTAGTTTCTTTTATGTGGGTATCACAGGGACTCTTTTCAACAGTTTTGTCTTGGGGTGCTTTATGCATATGTTACACTGCATAACCAAAAAGAGATAGAATCATTCATAGAGGTCCTATGTTGCAAGGTGCTGGAGGCATGCCAACATTTTTCAGGGTAAGATAGGTGTTAACATTGAACCTTGCGTTATTTTGCTTTAAAACAAATCTCACAATTTGTTCTCAATGCTGAGAATACTGTTAGAGGATTGTTTTAAAATCATGTCACTGTGACATTGTTTAGTTTTATTAATTATAAACCTAAAAATTTACCTTTGAACACGTGAATTATTTTGAATTGTGTAATGTGCAATCAACCATATTCTTTGTTTTCTGGCAGGAATGGGTACACGCAATGGCACTGATAAAGATGCTGGAGATCTAGCTAAGAGTTTTAGAAACTTAGGTTTTGACGTTTGCATATACAATGACCGAAGCCGTGATGATATGGAAAAATTACTGAAGCAAGGTAAAAATTTAGAATCATAGAATAATTTAGAGTGGAACAGACCCCTGGAAGTCACCAAATCTATCCCCTGCTCAAGGCAGGTCAAATTAGAGCAGATTGCTTAGGCCCCACTACATACAATTTTCTGTATAGAAGGATTAAGTTTCTGAATGGATTAGGCTTAATTCCCCACCTCTTCTGCCAACATCAATTCAGAAATACAGTTTTCTTGTCATATTAGGTGAAGCACCTGTCCTATGTATTAGGTGAAGAGCCTTGTCATATTAGATAAAGAGTCCAGCCTGTTGACTCCTGTGGGCTAGACTTGGAGTCAAGTGAAGGATGCATTCATGTATTCAAGGTACTCACCACATTACTAAAAAGTGGGTTGTGTCATCTTTATCCACTCCTTCTTAGTACAGGCCCAATGTATATGTAGTCTCAGAAAACTGTGTTTGCTAAGTATAATTTTAATTTAAAATGTTGCTTCCTTTTGGCTAAGACATATTTGATTTGTAGCTGCTGAGGAGAATCACAGTGATGCTGCTTGTTTTGCCTGTATCCTTCTAAGCCATGGGGAGGAAGGCCTCATCTATGGCACTGATGGACCCATGGCTATCAAGAGTTTGACTGCGCTATTCAGAGGAGACAAGTGTAAAAGCCTTATAGGCAAACCCAAATTATTTTTCATTCAGGTAATAGCCCTAAGGTAAATATAGTATCCTACTGCTGCAGTGAGGAAAACATGCTATGTTGGTTGTCTGCTCTGGAAGAGCCCTGTAGGTTAACTTACTGAACTTTGCTGGAGGTTTTGTGAAAAAATGTGTTGAGAGAAGTTGAGTATGGGTGACTTGTATTGTTTGTTTTTAAAAGATAATTTATACACAAGATTCACAGATGTAAAGAACATAGTCATTGTAATTTTGTACATAGTTTCTCTTTATGCTTGGTAATATATAAACTTCAAAGCAGAAAGATAAACTCCCTCTTGTGTAGACAGAGCTGAGGACTGTCCAGGCCTGTTTGAATAAAGGCTGTCTCTACAAATCACTGCATTCTGCTAAATGAAATATTTTCTCTCTCCCTCAGTAGCCTAAAAATTTATATTGCATTATTGCATTATTGCATTAGCATATAATTAATTGTATATTACTTAAGCTTTTAAAGACAGCTGTTTCAAACAGTATTAACTGACATGCCATGGGTCTGAATTGCACTTTTTTATCATAGTGTTATGTATATATGGGAGTTGCAGCAGATGTGGTTTTCCCTAGGTTGTTCCATCAATTAATCCTCAACCTCAAAGTGAAAACTGTGTCTATTTTAGGCTCTTGATACTACTAAAGTGATGTTTCTTTTAATTGTAGGTTTAGAATGGGTATTTTTTGCCTTTAAAGTTATCTTAAGAAAGGCAACCAACTAAGCCCATCAGACTGCTATTTTTTTGCAAGAGCTGTCAGTCAAAGCTACTGATCAAGAGCTGAAACTTACCAACCTGGACTGTGTTTCCAGTGTGCCCTTTAGCAAAACCACATGATTAAGAGGAAATTAAGAATAAAAGAGAGAAATGGAAAAATGTTAAAAATGCAATATGCTTGAAATGGGTGGTCAAACACTGGAACAGGTTGCCCAGACTGTAGAGTCTCCATCTGTGGAGATATTTGAAACCCAGCTGGACATGTTCCTGAACATCTGCTGTAGCTGTCCTTGCTTGAGAAGGGGGATTGGACTAGATGGTCTCGGGATGTGATTTTGTTACTCTGTGAAATGTAGTGCTACAGCAATGCATGTCAGGAACCAAAGACAATGTGTAGTCGCCTGTAAAGAAAATGTCCAGAAGTCACACTGCAAAAGACATTATGTAATAATTGAGTGCTGAGGATGACTCTAGACTAGTAAAATTAATCATGGTTAGAATAAGCTAATGCTGACTTGGCACTTTGACAATCCACTGAGATCCACAGCCTGCAACACCATTAACTCCCTTTACTGTACAGGATGTATATTTTAAAATGGGTAAGCTAGTAACTTTATCACTGAAAATTAGATGTCTCCCAGAATTGCACTTCTGCTTCTAATACATGCAAAGTATTGCTTAAACTGTATCCATTAAAAAATGTTAATTAATATTTATTTTTATAACACCGTTTCTCCTTATTGGACAAGTTCTCTTTGTCTTCACTGCTTTCAGGCATGCAGAGGCTCTGAATTTGATGAAGGTATACAAACTGACTCTGGACCTGCAAATGACACTCTGGAAACAGATGCCAATCCGAGATACAAAATCCCAGTAGAAGCAGATTTTCTGTTTGCATATTCCACAGTGCCAGGTAAAGAAAAGGGAGTCAGGGTGGGGATAGAAGCCTAAAAATTTATCACTCATATTGACTTGATTGTAGACTGACGCTCATTGATGATACGTTGTACACTGATGGACAAAACACTAAGGCCCGCTGCATGTTGGGCCAGTGTGTTGTATCCACCGCTTTTACACTAGCTATAGCAGAAACAGAAGAAAGCCCAGATTTGGCAGGTGAGAAGACACAGACATTACAGGTTGCAAAGGCATTACTATTTTCTGGGAATCCTGACCTTCCATATCCTAGTTCACTGAGTATGTTGAATATGTGATGAAGGCAGGAGGAGGAACGGTTAGAGCACAGGACTTACTCTTAGAGAGGAAAAACATGAAATCTTTCTTCTTGCACTTTCCCAAATGCAGAATGGTACTTGAGTAGTGTGAGGTCTGGAGAGTTAATACACATTATTCTCCACTTTAATGAAGTAGGATATATGACACAAATGATAAGAATTAAACTTTGTGTGTGCAGTTACTCTTTGCTCAGAATCTTTCACACAAATTATTACATATCTCTCTGCCATTCTATTCTTCAGCACAGGATAATAAGAAAAAAGAGGAAAAATAACCCCATGTACTTTCTGATCTCTTCCCTGTAAGGTTATTACTCCTGGAGGAATCCTGGAAGAGGCTCCTGGTTTGTGCAGTCTCTGTGCTCTGTACTAAATGAGCATGGAAAACAACTTGAGATCATGCAGATCCTCACACGGGTCAACTATGTGGTTGCCACAAATTTTGAATCACAGTCTGATGATCCACGCTTCAGTGAGAAGAAGCAGATTCCCTGCGTGGTCTCTATGCTCACTAAGGAACTTTACTTCTGAAAGTGTATTTTAAGGCAGCCAGTGATGAAAGATCAGGATATGGTTTGGGGTAGAGATTTGATATAAACTGGAGTAACACATTCTTAATAACAGAAATGTAATTACACTAGATTTTTATATTGTATAAGCTGGGGTATCTGAGGGATGGACAATATGCAAGATTTTAAAAAGAAATAAATGCTGTGGGCCAGCCTGACAGCTAATACTAATTACTGTATCTTGATTTCCCTTAGTGTGGCTGTCATGATTTATGGCTACTGAAGATGTTCTGAGAGTCAGCTACCTGACCCATAAAGGTTTATTCCAGAAAACAGACTGTAAATTAAGAACAAAAAAATTTAATTGTGAGACTCCATCTTTTCTTTCACTGCTAGCTCATGGAACTATAACTTCCTCGGAAATTTGCAAAGACCATCATATTATGGGTATGTCCAGTGATGAAACAGTTTGTAGCTATTTAAAAGGGTGTTTCTTAGTCTAATATATTTCCTTTTTATGAACATCATTAATAAAGACTAATGGTTGCTCTGTGCTTAATCTGGAAGTCAATTTACTTAGGTATCACTCTAGCATAAGATGAATAATTAAAAAATCAATATTTGTAGATTATTTGCCTGAGTAGTATGGAAATGTAACAAATATAGAAAAATTAAAATGAAAATCTTTGTAAAAGATTGGCAAACTGTAATTGGATGATGCCTTATTAAAGTGCCATTGTAAAGATTTTTGCCTTGCAAATGACAATTAACTGACAGAACAGCCTGAAACAGTGGTATTGCAGTTTTTCTGCTTGCAGAAATAAAAATGTCTGCTTGTTGATTCAGAAGTTTTGAACCAACAGAAAGTTAATGCCACGGCTTTGTTATAAAACATTAAAAATTAATGTTGAAATCATAGAATTATATGTTCCAGTAACAAATGTATGTTTAGATATAGCTTCTATTTGTGAGGAATTTTGCCAAGACTGGAAATACTTACTTGAATCAGAAACCAGAAGTGCCTTTTTAGTTACTGCACAGTCTTGATTTTGTATTTTGGAGCTATGTTGGTGATGTTTATATTCCTACTTTTTATATTCTCTTTAAAGTTGGTAGCTAGCTCAAAAAAGTAAGTTTAATGATTTGTTTAAACTGATAAATGGTTAGTTGTTCACCCTTTTCCCAGTTAATGTACTCTATACTCTTTTGAAATCTTCTAAGAAAATAAGTGAATACTATTAAAGCCAAGTTACTGAATTATAAAGTTTATTTTCTTACAAATACTGTGGCATAGTGAGGCATTTTTTTTCATAAGTCAAATTTACAGTTGTTTGAATTAAATAAATGACTGTTTTATGGACATCTTGAGCATTAAATCAATAAAGACCTTTTTTTAAATTTCCTATGAATATCTGCATGTTTGTCACTCAATCTGGTGAAGTGAAAACCAACCAAAATACATCCCAAAACCTTTCTCAGCCAAGAATGCAGATGGTCTTCAGCGTCTTTTCAAGATGAGGTTTACAGTGTCAGTTGAAAAGTAGTTTAGAAAAGTAAGCTGGCATTGGGTGACTTAGGTTAGGCAGGCCACATCCTCTCTTCCAGTAAACCAAAATTATTGAAAATATTTTAATGGAAATATCCTGACCTACCAGTGCTTAATCTTGCCCTGTATATAAAATGTCTTTATACAGTAAACTGTACAGTGGTCTAGCAGTTCTTATGAAAATGTTCTTCTTATTACTTCTGGCAAATAGCTCCATCTTAAACTATTTTCTGGCATTGGAGATATTCTTGTTTTACTGTGAGAAAAGTGTCCAGTCAACATTTCAGTATTCATTACTTCTCTGGAAGCTCTTTCATGTCTCTATAGTTCATTGGTGTTTATTTGCTTAAGGTTTAGCCTGTTTTTAAATTTCTGTTAACAGTATTCCCCTGTCTCCAAAACTATCCTTTTATTCAGATGCATTGTAGCTCTGAAGCCAGAGAGCCTTGGGAACAATAAAGGAGCAAGTAGGGGCTCTGAAACAGGTCATTTAAGTTTTTAATATAATGCCAAGGAATGTAACAGCATAACAGGTAAGGAGCACATTTCCTTTTGTGTAGTGCTTTTCTCTTAAAGGTTCTTTGAGAATGATATTTTATTTTTAAAAAGCTATAGCAAATTTGTCTTAGCATAAAAGCATTGGGAAAATATAAAAATTACCAGAAATAGTCCCTAGTCTACAAGGGAGTGCTGAGAAAGAATCAGAGGAGTTAATATTAGGGAGTTTCCTCTGTCAGTAGGAAAAACTATTTGCCCTATTGGACATAATGTCTAAAAGTAAAAAAAAAAGGTGGACGGAGCAGGTCTTTATCAGATTTTGTTGTACATTTACCATGACAGACACTAAGTAAGCACAGCTTGGGAATTTCCAACTAATAGGTGAAATGGTAGCTGTCTGTCTAAGAAAAAAGGCAAAGTAGTAATGTTATTTGAAGCTGTTCAGTGCTCTAATGTGGCAAGCTAACAAGGCACTCTCTACATTTGCAAGAGGTCTCCTGGTAGACCAAAGGTTTCCTGGAAAAAGATGATAGTGTGGCACAAAGGAGCACAGCAATTCTACCTGCTGACTTACAATGAAAGGAAGAAGTTGAGGCTGAATCTTAAACAACCTTTGGACTAGTTCTAGTATATGAAATATACAAAGATCAGCATAAAATACCTGAAGACACTGCCAGAGAGGAAAGCAACTTGGAAAGATAATTTAGAGTAGCAGTGAAAGAAAGAGAGAAAAACTCCCTTGTGTGGGGACCACTGTGTCTGCTAGATGGAGCATTGCTTTAGATCATGTCCAAAAAACATTAAAATTATTTAAGAAGAAAACTTCCCACTGACAGACATCATGTCTGACTGGTGATGTTTACATGCTGAGGGCTGTGCCAGCCCAAGACCTGAAGGAACCCATTCAGAATAAGGAAGCCTGACCCTTTCACTTGAGCAAGGGCAGGTAGCTGAATAGTGACTTACAAGCTGTAGGGCATTTTAGCTTATTTCCTGATCAAATTTATAACTATTTTCTGTCTAAAAGCAATTCCCTTGCCATCTGCAGGATTAGCCAAATAGTTCAATGTGTAAAATCATTATCATTATTGATATGCTGGATGTTTCTGGAGAGAATCAAAATAATTCACCTATAACCAAGACAGACACTGACCCTACAATGAAAATACGTTGTCATTACATAGGTAGCATGAGAAATCCTGCTTCACCGTTGTATGTTTTAGTAAATGCTGTTCTTTAACTCTGAACTTGGTTACATTTTATAGTATTTTACAATCTTTTAGGGTTCTTAATGTTGCTTTATCTTCCAGTCATGGGTGGATATTATATTTTAGACACAGCTCAGGGGAAATGAAGGGACTGTTTAGAAAGCTGAACCAACAAAAACAAGCTGTCTCCAGGCATTTTTTCTGCATGGGAGACATTCATGGCTGCCTCAAATGTGCATATTTTTTCATTGCTTGTAAGTGAATATTAATCTTCTGGATTCCCCTTTCAGAACAGTCTTTTATTTGCTTCTCATAGCAGAAACAGGAATTTCCTTGTGGGTCATATTTCAGGGTGTTTGTATTTATACACAGACTATAAGAAGGCAGTCACAATACAGGGCAAGGACACATCATGTTTTGCTGCAGGATGCAATACAGGTTATCTGGAAATACTTAAAGGTGTGTTTCTCTAAAACCTCCTACATCATAAAGACATTTTGCCTGTAAGTATTAACACAGTTTGTTTTCCTTATCTTGGTATTATATTTTTGAAGTTTTATAATAGCCTACATCTTAATAATTTGAAGCATTTTATTTGCATTTTTACTGAAGTGCCTCATTGCCTTTCAAAAGCTTGAAAGCAATCAAGTCTCTTAATGCCAGGAATACAAAAATCTGAGGGGGTATAATCATGGAATTGGCATTGTCTATTCTGAATTAGACATAACCTGTGTAAAAATGTTGCTTTCCATTGAAGAGAAAAGGCAATTAAATGCAACAATTAAAAACTTTTTACCAAAATGCAGAGTGAGATAGCACAACTGTAATCTCACAGGTTTTTATCTTCCCACCTGCAAATCTTGACTTTTACTGAAACCTAGAAGAGACTTTTATCCTGTTACAGGCTCTTGGAACGTTGTTTTGCAAGAACTGTATCATTTGCCAGTCACGGTGACTCTGTCAGTCACACTGAAAAGAATATTACATTGCCTTTCATTGCAACCCCAGGCATGTGCCCCTGCTATTGACACTAACAATTTGACTTTGTGTGCAGTCATTTTTAGTTTTGGAAGTTGCTTTTTTGTCCTTTTTTATGGTAGGCAATAGGTGAAAACCCTAGCAGTAAATTTTATAACAGTCTGTCATAGCATTTGTACAACAAATCTTTTTCCCAAAAAGGCAAAATCACAAAGGTTTCCTTAAAAAAAACCTAACAAACAACAACAAAAATACAGGCAGAAATGCTCTGCAAAGATCTCCAATGGACCTAAGTTTGCAGTGAGTCATTTTCATTTATAGCATGGTATTGCCTGGAACAGGATGTGTGGAAGTCTATAGCTTTAGTCATGTGTCAGAGGTAAAATTTTGTGTGTAACCAATCCCATGTCAGGTGAGTGAGGCCAGAAAATAACCAATCATTTCTGACCACCGCTTCTGGCCATACCATGTTTACTTCTGGCACCATGGAGTAAATCACTGAAGAAACAGAAGAAAGGAAACACCTTAAATCTCTTAGTCCAGCCAGGGAGCTCAGCAAAGAACTAAAGAACAGCACTTGCAATCCTTCAAATTTTCCCAGAAGAGGCTCTGCAGCTTCAGGTGGCACACATTGGAGACCGGGTAACCTCATCGTAGCTAACAGACAACTTCAAGCCAAGTTACTAAAAGGAAAGTATTTGATTTTGCAAGGAATGAGAGCTTTGGGGTAAGGCAAAGGGAAACTTTTGAAAAGTTTCCTAAATTATGTTACAAACAGACACGGTATTACAAACCAGAAATGTAAGTATATGAGAGAAACTAGATCTGATTTTAAATAAACAAGAAAACAATTGTGAGATAATAATAAACTGTCAAGTGTGCAAAATGTAGTGTCGTGCATGCAGTCTATTGGGAGGAGTGCAGAGGTCACATACAAATTGCAAAGAAATAGCAGTGCTTTGGGAGTCTGGCACTGTTATCCTGACACCCAAGTGGTGTTCATCTCAAAGGAAAGCATCAAAAGGCAAATTAGCTCCAAAAAAAACCCCAATGGAAGCCCATTAACCCACCTTTTACTTTCTAAATACTCCGTCTCTGTGTTCCTGCACTTATCAAATCCCACAGACTGCGGCCTGCTTGTTTTGTTAAAGGGTTATTTAACAAAACTTCAGAGAATTCCATGAAAATGCAGCGGTGCATTCTGCCTTCCTGCCAGCCTCTATTCCCATCTCTGCACCAGCCTGGCTATGCCAATGAGTAGGTTATTTAACTTCTTCTCAGGTTTACAGTAAGATTCCCATTTCCCTGGTAATATTGGAGGAGATGTTGCAAAAATAAGCTGACGTAAATAAAAACAGATACTCTGTTTACCCCTCTGAAAAATCATACTAAACCACCTCTTAGAAAGCTGTAAAGTTTATTTCATCACTGTTTATAAATTGCTCTGAGGGCATTGTATTAAGAATGCTACAGACTTGCAAATTATTATAATTACCATAGTATTAGGACTAGATTTTCTAAATAGATTTTGAACTCTTCAGGCCAAGCTATGCCTGTTTTATACAGAACTGATCACACTGCTAAAGGCAGTGTCAGAAACATATGGGATGCAATATTCCTAGGTTACAGGTGTTGTGTCTATTACAAAGGAAGGGGCAAAATGAAGTTCTGTTGGCAGGTCTCGCAAGTTCCTAGGCAAATCATCTCTTTGGCCTATATACGTTTATAATTTTTATTGTTTGTAATTTTATAATTCTATTATAATAGAATAAATATAATATTATAGCATATAATGTATAATTTACTTTATAATATAAGATGTACAATAGTATGCTTAAATGAATAATAATAATTATAATTGTTTATATAGTTTATTATAGATTTTTTTCTATGTTCATTTTTTATAGTTTAATCATCACTACGAAAATAAACATTTGTGAGATACTTGTTATTTTCTTAGGCAACCGTGCGTGCAGTGAAATGCTGCTCAGCAGGAAGCAAAGCAAAAGGAGTTAGCTTCAAGGTTTTTGCTCTGTTTACTATCTGGGTGGATGAAACAATCAGGATGGCTTCTACAAGTAAAAGAAATTCTGCAGGTATGAAATTTCATTTACTAAGATTTGTCACTAATAAGGTTGAATCAGGTTTCTATTCATTCTTATCAATATACAATACCATTCTCTTTACCCTCCACCTACCAGGGATTTTGTGGTAAACAATAGGTGAAAAACAGGGGAAAATAGCATACTGAAAAATCTGGAGATCTCATCTGGGCTTACACTGTGTGTTAATTCTGGCCCTCTGCTTCCTTCCTTAAAGAATCTGTCCTAAATGCAGCATTTCCCTTTATACCAGATTTTTCTTGTCCCTGACACAGAGATTGAACTGACATTTGTAAAAAATGTTAAAATCCTTAAAAATTAACTGTGAACTGGAAGGTACAGTCAGTATCTCCAAGGCACTGACGATGAAGCCTTACCTCCACTGAAGTCAGTAGCAAATGGGATTTCAGAACCAAGCGTTTCTTGCATCACCCCAAAATTTGGTCATGTTATATTTCCCAGGACTTATGTATATTGTCTACTGTCCCTTACTGGAAGATCCAAAATAAGGCTGACTGTGCTCCTTTCAGTCACTGGATTCTTAAAAAAATCTTAATTTCCCAAACGTGGTTTATAGCTTAAAAAATGGAATAAGATTGCCACTCCTTTCATTGGGTATTAAAGTGTATTAATAAGACTGAGATTTTTATTAGAAATTCATCAGTGATTAGAAAATGTGAATCTTAAACTACAACTGGCCACAGGTTATGCAGGGTCATGAACAAATACATTCAGGCATTCCCCCCTGCCCCCCCCCAGGTTTTAGCTCATATTTTACTTGTAAGACTTTTTCCTGTTGTCACATCACAATTCATGGTGTAAGATGATCTATCCTTAGCTGTGTTTGCAACCGATCCAAATTGAATGTCATCTACAAATTTCATTAGGGGGCTGTTTACTCTCTTTCAGGAGTGGAGTTAAGTAAGACCATACTCCAGAAGTTAAATAAGACCAGTTAAATAAGACAGAGGCTCTTGATATCTTCTGACCCCCCTACATTGTCACTATCATTTGTTGACAGTTTAGGTCAGTTGTCAGCAGTAACACTGACATCAGGGAAGCATGGCCTGGCCCTATATTTTATAGCCTTGATTTGTGTTCATCTTCTCTAATTGTAATGTGCTTTATGGCCATTTAAGCACAGAAACCCGGTGCTCAGCAACAATTTTCAGTTCAAGCAGATCTGTGTAAGAGATTAATTGGCAACAAATTAAGTAATGGTGTTGTTCATTTCTCTTTGATTAGTGAGAACTCAAAATACCTTTTGCCCTGAAGGTGAAGTCTACAAGCACGGATTCTTCATCAAATCACCACCTCTTCAACTTTTCAGCTCACAGGTATGCTATCACAGATTAGTCATATTTCAGCAATCCCCCAACAAGCATCTGTTATTTCTGCTATCCTGAATTTTAATGAGAGACAAATTGCTTTCTCTTCGGCAGAATTCCTGGAAAAGGCGTTTTTTCATCCTGTCCAAATCCAGCAAGGGCAATTACATCCTGAAATATCTAAAAGGCCAGAACATAAAAGGCTCCATAGCTGTTGATCAGTATGTAACTCAAATGCATCCCCTTTTTATTTTAAGTCATGTATCAACACTCTTAAATGGCCACTGTACAGGCACTTATTCCTGATGGAGGTTCTTGATCCAAATCCCACTGAACTCCAGAAAAGAGTCCCTGGGGCTTTCGTAGGCTTTCGGTGCAACTTACAGTGTATGATATAGATAGAAGTAAATATCCTAAATTGCTTTGATGAAATTTGATACATTTATGTGAGTGATTGTCATGATGTGGTATCTGCAAACCAGACATCTTGGCTCCGTGATCCCGAAGGCTGTATTCCTGTAGTAGAAGATACTTTATCTCCTGTGAGGACAGTGCTATGCATTCACTCACATGCAAGTAAGGACAGACTATGCCACTCTTAACTGTGGCACACAACCTTTCCCACCTTACAGCTTTACAAAGTGCTTAGCAAGTTGTGCAGAGTTCTCCTGGCTTTCATGTGGTCCTTTGGGCTGATGCTGACTGCCCCACTGCCTTTTACTCCACCAAGAAATTGCTCTGCTTGGCTCATTTCAGTTGATCATTTCATTCCTCTCAGCACAGTGCCCACTACAGCAAGGCTGGGTATCATAGGCTTTGTACTGGCACCTTTTTCCATGTCACATGTGGTGTGAGATACATAGAAGGGAAGCAGTAAACGTAGAGGAAAATGTAAAGATTTTACCAGTCAGACCTGGGGATTAATACTCCAGGCTCCTGGAATTGTTAGGCATGGAGGTCACTGGACTCACATTGCTGTTGTGCTTCTTCTATTAAAAGGATTTACATTGTGAAGCTCTTGAAAAAATGCCAGCTTGCTCAGTGGTATGTGGTTACATTATTAGCATCATTATTATTGTTGTTGTTATTTTTACTTATTTAACTTCTTAGAAGTTAATGGAAGTAGTGCTTCTATTTAAGTATCCATTAAGAGTACTTCTTGTCTGTTCCTCTTCTCCATTAAAACACTGTTAATATACAATTAGTTTCAAAGCAAATGTATTGTTCTGTAGTGGTTCAAAAACATCTGCCAGGAATTTTTCTTACTGTCATTTCTTTTCAAGATTCTGTGTTAGACCAACAGCCCCTTTTTTCAGAAATGAGGATCCAAAATCTGGACACGAGTCTTTGCAAAAGTTGATTTTTTTTTTTTTTTTTGCTTGGAAGTTTTCTTCATTGAAAGACCATGTGTTTTAAATGTGTGCACTTTTTTTCTTGACAATTTTTTCTGTGGAAAAATGTTTACCTTTCCCATGTAGATCTCATCATATTACGCTGTGCTTAGAGTAAAATATGCACATACACACACATATGTATGTGTGTGCATATGTTTGTATGTAGGTATGTATAGTTATATAGGATGTTTCATATGGTTATCTTAACAGAATCATAAATATCGAAGTTGGCATAAGCAATTCTGAAATTATGGAAACAGTAAGGAAGATGTTTAAATGCCTTCCTGAACAGGTGATGTCCATCAGTACTGGAAACAGATGTTACTACCTCATTGGCAGCAGCAGGTAGGCATAAAAAGATGCGGAAATGCAATATGACATTATAGTTATGCTAATGTTACACTAAGCTGCTGCCCCAAGGCAAGGTCCTACTCCTTCACAGCTGCTCCCATTGCTTCCTGTGTCTCAGCTACTGATGGCACAGCTCTGGGATGAAACAATTCAGCTGGTTGATCCAATGGAAAACTGCTCTTTTCTATGCCATTTTTTTCCCCTGTGGCCAGGTTAATTTTTGCTGGTTCAGACAGGTGAGCTAACCTTCCCTGCAGCCACACTGTTAGAACATCCCACAGGTGAAAGTAGTGGGAGCATGCAGCTGGGAGTGGGGATGGCAGTGGCAGTACATCAGTGTGGCAGTGCCATGTCAAACTGTACCGGTCAAGGGTCAAGGAAGAGCAGAGAGCTTTGTCTTCTCACCCAGCAGCTCCTGGGAGTTAGGAAAGCTTCTGCTCTTTATAGATAAATCACAGGAAATAATCTTGCCCTGGAAAGTAGGTTGTTAATCAAGGGAAGCAGACTGAAGGGGAAAATTCCCCCGAGGGAAAACAGATCCCCAAAGGAATGACTGGGGCCTTTACTGCAGCAGGGTGGTGTGCTCCTTGCTCTCCCAGGCTTCAATCCAGTCCTCAGCAAGGGCAGAAACTGCTGCTGTAGAGGTGATCAGCCAAAGCTCAGTTAGGTGAGAGAGGACATTTGGCATGGTGCTCCCGTGCTGCTGCTTCCCAGCTTCTCCTCTTCAGTTTCCCAGCCACAAGCATGTCAGGAGTTTTTCTGCCTTTATGCAGAAGAAGAGCTGATGTGTGAAATGCTGATAAGCATAGAAGAAAAACACATACCTGTCTGTTACTTGACCGTGCCACACTACGCCTTCCCCCAGGGCACTGCTCTCACAGCCCACACTCCATGGGAAGCATTCCAGAATTAATCCAACTAAATCCACCGCAAGCATGAAACAGGGCTTCAGGGGTCCTTTCATGGCATGTTTCTCATTCTGCTCACCCAAATGCATTCCCAAGCCTTGTTAGCTGTCTTTATGGCAGGACTTGGCAGAGCAGCATTACACACAGAAAATGAAGCAGAAAGCACCACCCCACCTCTCCCTCCCTCTCCCTCTCCGTGTCTCTTGCACAGACACACAGCCCCCCCTGCATATCTTTTAGCTCCCAGTCTTAGGCTGCACATCTCTGAGTTCAAACTTTGCCACCTGGCTACGGCCACCCAAGTACTCTCTCTTGAAAGGAAGGTGCAGATTTTCCCCATTGATTTCAGGAAGCATTATTTTGGGCCCCATAGGAAGAAGGGGGTAGGCAAATGGGTTTTGCTTGTGTTTTACCTGTGAGTAGGTTTTCATTTCTGTTGTTCCAACCTACAGGCAGGAAACAGAGGATTGGGTCACTGTGATATCTTTGATCTGCAGGGACGCCAAAAGAGGTGGATGCTGCCCTCAGGTGATACGTTACTGCACTTGATTTTAGAAAGAAAAAAATATGTAATTTCATTAGAAACCTGTGCAAAGGATTTTTCCTGATTTTGGCCTTGCAAATTGGCTCTTGCCTTGGTTAATCAGAAATTCATTTTCCATATAAATCCTGTACCCAGGCTTTATGCATTAAGCAGGCATTGCACAGTCTGTCTGCGGTGGGATTGATTTTACATTGAAGGAATCTCTTTGAAGAGTAAGCCACATGGAAATTAGGAGATGATTGACATTATGCTGCAATGAATTGCACCTTTGATGTGTCAGAATGAAAACTTGTGTGTTATTCTTACCGTGTGCTTTTTGGTTATATTTACATGCTGTTTTACAAACCAATCCACATCTGGTCTGTCAATGTTATGAACCAGCTGGAATCCCTGTTAGTTCAAGCTCAGGCCCAAGTTTCTGCACCTTGTCAGCCAGCCAGGCCTACTAGCTCAGACTCAGCACTGAGCTACTTACATCCCTGCAGCTTCCAGTCAGCTCAAAGTGCAAGCAGGGCAAATTTATGTCAGCCTAAAAAATGCCATGTAGACAACCTCTCTGAGCCATTAGAAGTAAAATTTGGACTAGTGGAATGCATTGGTACATGGTAGACCATGCCCATCAGGTGCCTGTCTTCTTACACTGTTGTAATCTTATTTCCAGAACCAAGATCTTCCAAATCCAGAAATCAGAAGCCGGCCTTCCTCTTTGCCAGTATTCTTGAATTCTGTAGATACGACCAGTTTCTCGGAAAGCCAAAGCTGCCAGAAGGTAAACAGATTAGTCATCCTTAATAATGAGTTTGCTCCTAGGGGTGACTGTGAAATTTGATTTGTGTAGTTGCTTGTTTTCATCAAAAGTTCTTCAGAGCTTGTGCAACGGGTGCCCAGGTGGTCTGTTCTGCTCTCTGGTGGGGTTCCTGAGTAGGACCTGGATGATAACATCAGAGAGTCCCCACAAAGGAAAGACTTTTGAGGAAAGTCTGCATGTAAGTAAAGGCAGGTGTTGATGGCAATGAGAAATGATATTCATTGGCTGTCTCAACTGACTGGCAAAGATTAGTGGGCATGAAGTAAGCCCCTGAAGATTTGCTTTCACATGCCTTGGCAAAGCCATGTGATGATTGTTTTGGGAGCTACTAATCACATTTCTCCTGTTTTATGATTGTGCTGTTCTTTCTCTCTTCAGGCTGTAAAGCTCAGAGGGGAGTTCAGGTCCAGTTCATCTGTGCCTTCCAGATCTTCCCCCTCAATATTTAAATAGAAAGGAAGGAAAGCATTGCTGCTGTCCCAAAGCAATTGCAGTCCCCCGGTGACAGGCTGAAAAGCAGCCAAGGAATTGTTGGTTTTCTCTAGTCACAAAGCTGTGTGCAAATGGCCCAGCTAGAGGAAACTGAATGCAGGTGAAGCACTCGCAGTGTATCTTTAGGAGGAGTCAACTTTTTTCTTTTGTATACAGGAGGACGGTTCCTCAGAAGACAAGAACAGGCCCAGTTCAGATCCTGGTGCTCATCAGGCTCAGTGTGACTCACCAAGAGGAGTTTTTCCAAGCCTGGTGAGCAGAACAAATCAAACAGCTCTTGAGTTGTTCAGTCTGCAGAAGTGATTATTGGCTCTTATCTCACCTGAGTATCTGTAACTGTAGATTATCCACCTATTTTCCCAGCACACTGGATTGGTTTTCACTGTGAAAGTTTCCTAAATATTTAGTCTGTTGTCTTGTTTAGCACTGAAAATAACCTTCTAAGAACTTGCTTGAAATACCCTTTGTTTACTTTGCTTCTTGGAGGCAGATCTTCAGAGTTTCTGTGCAGCAATTGCAACTTGTGGCAGCTCTCACAACCTCCATCAAGAAAACTCTGAAGTTGCACTTCTTGAGGATTTGCTCCTCCCATCACATTTCTCAGACGTGCCACAGTCTTCCTAAATGGTTTCTTTCTGCAGCCTCTTCCAGTAGCAACTGAATCAATGTAACTGAACTAGAGAACAAGGGCTTGTTAAATTGAGGCACACCTCAGGACTAGCCTTCTGTCAGCATAAATATGACTTCAAGTAGTTTAGTTTCCATATCTGGCAGGAATGATTTAAAAAGATACCACGATGAATGTTATCATGTATTATCGGCTAAACGTTCCGACCTGTGTTCCCTGAACAAACACCTGCAGCAGTTTCGAATGGTTTTCACCCATCCTCTGCCCTGGATTACTGCCTTTGCAGCAGAGTCAACAGAAGAGAAGCACAACCAAGGCTCCACCTCACCAGTATGCAGTTGACAGCTGAGTTTAAACCCATCTTTATTGGCAGTTTATGCATTGGACTATGATCTGGAGCGGCTGAGGTACAGGGAAAAGAATCTGTTCTGCAGTCATAACTAACAGGGTGGTAAATCACATGCTGCAGTCACCATCCATGTATATAAGCTGGCAGCAAGCATGAGAAAGTACAGCTAAACTTAGTGGAAAGAAGTGAAAATAGTTGCAACTACATTGCAATGCCATGGGCAGTTAGCGCAGCTCAGCTGATGCACAGAACTTTATGAAGCTGCAGTAATTCAATTGTGAGTCTGAGCTCTGAAATGCATTGAGTTAACCCTTAGTCATACCAAGATGCTCTGTCTCTTTCTTATGCATGCCTTTTCTGTCTCATTCATTAATTCTTCTCATACTTATGATGCCTCAGAGAGCATGTATTATATGCAGCTGTTCCAACTAGGACAGGCTGACCATGAGGGTTAAAAGATAAGGAATTTGGATTTTACCTTTTCAGCCTGAAGCAGAGGGAACAGCAGAAAACTCGTGTTTCTGTTTCAGCATGTGTGAAAATAAATTACCTTGCCATACAGCTAACAAGAAACAAAAATGTTTGTTCATTCGATAAAAATATTTCACTTGCCTCATAAGTTTAGCATCTGCTAACATCTCCATATCTATTCTCTGCTCAGTGATGTCTAGACAGCTGACTTCCACATTAATCCCTTGTATTTACTTTCTTTTAGAAGTATGACTCCACATTTCTAGTATCTGATTCTTTTTGCTTTTTATTGGTGGTTCCCTCATCCAGCCACAGATCCTGAAAACTCTGGTTAGTAGCCGTTACTCATGCAAACAGGCCTCTGAATGTTAGTTGAGTCTAGTCACGCAGGCAGGGACCCTGAAGAAGTCTGGGGACCTGGCTCCCTTTCAACCCACATTTTGGAGCTCCCAAATCATATCTGACTCAACATCTTGATACACAGCTTTCAATACCTGAAATACATCAAAATAAGGAGCCCTGACTTGCATCACCCATACTGTGCATTACTGTATTGCAGGCACCTAGGCATCCTTGTCGGGATATGTTTGGCACACCTGATTTTTTGTAAGAGAAGTTCCTCTGTCCAAGGGCCTAATTTTCCTAAGGAGCCTATAACTAACAAATGCTCAGTTGTTCTCCGGGTATCATTTCCATCTTGTGCTACAGCCAATTTTCTCTATAGTCTACTTTCTCTCTAATGTAAATCTGCGTCATGGTTCAACAGACGCTTAAAGAACTTGTTCAGCTGTACAGTTGAGAATAACTGTACACTGATGCTAACTGCACTTCTCTGGTGGTAAAGCACCTGGAGGAACAGAAATGTCGGCAAACTGCCTTAGGGAAACAGTGCTGATACAGCTTAACCTTCTCCTTCCCATTGCCCCTGTAATCTGCAATGGTGCCAAGGAGAAACACTATGCATTTGGCAAAAGGTAGCCAGTGTCAGTGACTGAAGGCTCAGTTTGTGAAGCTGATGAGTGCTGTCTGCTCTCTGAGATTTCCTAGGAGTTGGAGGATCTCAGGACTTCATAAAATCACCTCCTCTTCCCCGTTCTCCCCAAGTGTTTGTTTGTTTGATTCATCCAAAGCCCCTGAAAAGTCACTAGGAAACTCATTCATGACTTTAGATCATGACCACAGAGCCAGTCTTGTTCCTGCTGTGCTTTTGTTACACGCTTCTTGAAGGACCGTTTGCAGGTTTGTTCTGACTCTGACTGCATGCGTTGCTTTTTATGTCATTTATACCCACAAGGAACAAAAATAGATTCATCATCTTTAATTTCTATTCAATGCCAGTTTCTTCTCTTTACATGTGAGAGAGTAATTAGTTTAATTTACTTTACCTTGAAAACAGTGATATATTCTGTGGCATGTTTAGCAATTATTAAAATGATCACCATGGAAACCAAGGATGTAAGTGGAGAGATAAAAAACAGTTGCATCACAAACATGGCACGGCGAATTGCATTGGGAGGCAGCTAAATACTAATTACTGTGCTCTTCGCTATAGTGAAGTCAACAAGGAGACATAAAAATAAATAATTTATCTTAGTGACTGAGAAAGATAAACTTGGTGGCAGGATTAATTTCTCCTTGACTTACCAGATTGCCACAAACTTAGTATTTCAGGTATTTATGAAGGCAGAATATCACTCAGGACACAAAGGATTCAAAATCAGATCTCCAGACCTCCAGGTATGTTCTAGTTAATGGAGAAGTAGGAGATAATAGACTTCTCATTAGTCAAGGAAGCCCCAAATTCATTCTTTACTTGATAGCGGTTAAAAGGTGCTTAAAAAGGACAAATATATCCTGATCCAATTATAGATTTCCTACAGATTTTTTTCCTAGTGTAAGGACTTTAGAAGTGAACGCAAATAAAAAATCTTCTCCACACAAGTGACCCTAAATGCATGCGAATTCATATGTGAAGTGTTTAACCCACTTGATTTTTAAACAAAATAAGAGGTTGTGAACATGCAATCAATTGCAACTGCCTGGTTACCACAGATCCATCTATGAGAAGTATTAATACCAGTGGCCAGTTTTGTCTGTGTGCCATTGATCTCAAAAATAGAAGAAGGAGCACAGATACAGAAACCTTGTTTCTAAAACAGACTGGCTCTGAGCATATCTCACTTCAAGGAGATACATGTCTCCCATGTTTTCTGTGGGTATTTGCTGATTCTATTACTTCTCCATGTAAATGGAAAATACATGTTAAACAATCTGTATAATTGAACCTGTTAAATACAAAATTATTCTTTTAACAGGATAAAAATCTGGAAAAGAGTGAGGAAAATCTGCTGTCATCAGATACAGATGAAGACATCAAAAAGGATGAAGAAGATTATTACCAAACTCCCAGCAATATTTTAGCAAAGGTAGTTTATCAGTTGCGAGTTCTACTGGTTTGTTAACAGCCCCAAGGAGACAGGACATATTTAATGAGCCAAAGAGGAACTGGTATGAAGAACCTCTTTTCTTTGCAAAAGAAATACATAGATAATAGGTAGGTAGGTAATAGAGCTTTCATTTGTACAAGAAAAAATACACTAGATTCAAAGGATCTTTCTGGTAGAAAGCGGCATTTTGACAAAAACATTGCCGATTTTGTTGAAATTCCCCAAATTGACCATTTCATTGTAAATGGCTCTTGCCTATTGTATAACAGGTTTTTTTTTTCCGAAAGTGAAAACTTCATTTAGAAAATGTAACAGTACATTATTTTTACATATTTTAAAATGTAATTCTTTTGAGGCATCAGTAAGCTGCATAAAACCAAGCAGTACTTTAAAAACACTGTGAAACATTTTGGCACCTACATTTCATTCTGAAACAAGGGAGCAGGAGGAATCATACTGGTAATTTTAAACAAATTTTGACACCTAATTTGGGAGGCTAATTTCTCTAGGCTTCCCATGTAGTTAGTGGTCAGGAGAAGCTAAGTGGTCAGTCTTCTGCAGAAGCCTCTCTCCCAAGACTGTACAGCTAACTGAAGGACATTAACAATATGATTTTATTATATAATCTAAGTGCTCTAAGTTAAGTACACCCAAAGTACAAGACTTTTTTCAACCTGCTTAAAATAAAACATAACACAGTTTTTGTGGTAGTACTTTAGAATATAGCTGGTTATGTCCCAGTCTGAAAGTGTCAATAATACCAGAGAACATTAACTTGTAAGTTTCAACCACGTTTGTAGCTCACAGTTTCTGGAAATTGATTTATCGGGGGGGAAAGCAGGGGTATATTAGCCAATGTGTTTAAACAGCATGAGCACTGCACAAAATAAGGAAATTAAGAAGATTTTTTCTGTAGGCAGAGCAATGATATTAACGTCTTATGCTGTCAGTGTTTTCAGCAGTGCACTACTGAAGTATCAAAGCCTGACCCTACAGCTGAGTCTGATGTCCCTGTGCAAGAGAAACCAGTGCGGAAGAACCCAGTAAAGGACAACATTTATATGTCAATGAAATCACTGTAAGTAACAACTTCATTAAGGTTTTGCAAATTAAAAGTGACATAGTGGTACAGATAGAGCTGTCATCTGTGGTATTTACATAACAATATCTAGAGGCTGCATCTTGTATGAATGAGTCCCTCTTTGGTCTTGGTTCAGAAAGTTCAGAACTTGTGGGAATACCAGAGTGAAATTCAAATTCATCAGCATGAAATTTAAACTCACATTGCAAAAGCATGCATTTAGAAATGTTCTGACTGTAGGATGCAGCACTTTTTGTTGACTTACACTTTTTCTAGGTTTTCATGACATAAGAGCCCACCACTTTTCTCAGATACCGCAGCCAAGCTCCAAAAACCTTTCAGACAGGTACTCTCCAAAGCAGGCAGCATTATTTAGTGGTTAGAAGAGAAAGGTAGACATGGGGCATTAGTTCCCAGCTTTTCAGTAAGAAGTTACATGCTCCTGAGTAGTTCATCTCCTTCCTTCCATTTTCCCATCCAAAGAACGGGTCTGATGCTGTGTACTTTGAAAGTACAGTGTTTGGCATGTCACAAAGAAAGACCTGAACTTTGTGTCACAGTTGTAGTGCCACTTGGGAACTTTACGACCTCCACAATATAGCACAGTATACTGAAGAGAAGTGTGCCTACAAGGTAAAACCATACCTCCTGAGCCAGAGGACTGGTCATTAACTGTTAGCTATGGCCTGCCACCTACAGACAGTCAGGTCTTATGTCGCATAATGGGAGGCAACTGGAAATGCCGACCCACAAACTAGTTTATTCCAATAGATTTATTCAAGCTCGTCTGTGCCTTTGGGACCCCCTGGAGGGAATTACTATAAAAACCTCACAAACCTATGCCATCTGAGTTGAAATATACCAAGAGCAGCTTTTGCTACTAATCCCAGTTTTGTCTGGGACGTGGAGGGGAGTTGGCTTCAGGCATTATAAGGCTCATCAAATAAACCTAAAATACGTGCAAGCACATCTGAGTTATTGTATCTCCCAGGGGACAGCATTACATCCCTGCAGAAGCCAGTACAGCCAAGGCCAACAATCTGTACTCAGTTTCTTTGTCAAGGCATGTTGTTAGCTGGAATGTTTTCAGGCTTAATAAATAGTCTTTAAATACTGAAAAGGTTTATTTTGGGATTTATGGTCCATTTTTAGAAGGACTGTTTACTTTACTTAGCTGTAATTTTGTCCACTGGATATTCTACAAGAACTTGTTATTCTTTGCTTCACTGATGGCTATTTGATCCAGCTTCAAACACAGCAAGAATGCCTGAAATGGTCAAGCCAGTTCATTTTTTATCATCATTCCTCTGCAGTAGGTTGCTGGATGAGAGTTGTCAGCTCATGTGCAGAGGTGATGGGGTCCCATCTCCTCCCAAATACCAGGACAACAGTGCATGTCCAAGAGACTTGGAAGCAAACAGAGACCTAAAATTCCCAGAAAGTCAGCAGCCAACCCTCCAGAGAAGGAAAAATTCATTACCGCTTTCGGTGGTTCAGTTGTCTATACTGCTCAGGTAAGTGTCTTCTCCATTTTTGTTGCAGAGAAGACAGATGTGTTCATGGATTTCAGCTGAGGTACAGGTAGAGCGTGCCAAGCCTGTCAGGGTTCAAGGAGTGTCTGGACGACATTGTCAGTCATATGATTTAATTTTAGGTAGTCCTCCAAGGAGCAGGGAGTTGGACTCAATGATCCTTATAGGTCCCTTCCAACTTGACATATTCTATGATTCTGTGGTCTCTGATGTTTTCTCTCACAGTCAAATTACAGATGAGACCCAACTGCAGAATTTGGATATTTTCATCCCGCTGGCTGATATTAACAGTTACCTAAAACTTACTGAAGCAGCAGGACAAATATGGTAAGTTCTGGATGTCTTGTGATGGTGCCTGTCAGATGTGAATGAGTGACAGTCAGGTACAGAAGTGTACAACCATATACATCCATGTACAGTTTTGGCAGTGCAGAACAGGGCAGAGTCAGTGTGTGCTGGTACTTCAGTATAATCTTCAGGTATTCAGTGTAAGGAATTTCTGCTCTTTCTGACTCTTCATGTACTTGAGTTTCTATTTCAACTGCTGTTGAAAAGGGCTGTATAGAATTGAGATCCCTCAGCATGCTGTGTAATAATTAGCGATGAAGTCCCACCCCAAAAGCTATTCTTCTAATGTTGGTGTGAAATCACCTAATTACCACTAGTCAGTTTTGCCTTTGATTTGGTGAACCACAATGATTGTGTGTCTCAGAGATATAGTGAGAGGATATATCTTGTGATAGGGTAAATAGGGTGTCAAGCTGACTTGAGTTGGATGTGAGCACAAAATTATCTCTGAATTAATCCCAGCGGTGGTTCAGTGCTAGGAATCAGTGCTAGGCAGAGATTTTCACAGGTAGGTGTTATGGGCTAGAGCACATACATCTTCTTAGTAGCCCGTTGGAAATTATTGCTCTCCCTAGACCTCCAATATCATTGACTAGGATAAGGAGGATGCAGCAGAAAAAATGCTCAGTGCATACTCCTGTACTTCCTGTTGACCTTTCACTGCCACACAGCACTGAGACTGTGTTTTGCTGCTGCGCTCATATTCACACCGATTAGGTGCATGGTGTGCACAGCAGGTCACTTCGTTTCAGCCACTGTCAGCAAGAAGAAAAAATACCATTGCAAAAGGGACTGGAAATGGGACCCCACCTCAATAATAGGATCTACATCTAAATTTATAGAGCTTTCTCTTTTTCTATGGAAATTCATATTGAAAGAATTTGGAACAGAGCACTAAGTCTGACTGTCAGGTCAGCTAATTCTAAATAGCTTGTCATCAAGGAAAGTCTATCAGAGACCAGCAAGAAAGAGATACTGGAATTTCCATAAGGGTCCTGTCAGGACAGCAATGGATCTCTGATGCTCGCAGTTATATCATAGATAAAACACATGATAATAAGTTTTAAGTCCATTCTTTTGGGATGACATTGGAAATTAACTTAGTCAAACATAGGGCTAAAACACCTGCAGCAGTGTACATGTACCTGCAGCGAGTCTGGCTGACTGCTTTTGCACTGGCATCCCCAACTCTCACTGGTGACCTAGCTAGTACCAGTCTCACTTGTTAACAGGCTGCAATGTCAGTGTCATGTGCCCTTTTAGGAGGACCTGTTGGGATGGATGAAGCAGCTTGGTTTCAGCTAGAACCAGATCAAAAAGTTGCAAAGTCATTCAACCTGTGTATTATTTCCAGAGGGCAGTACCGTAAACACAATCCTGTTCAGCCATTGCCATTCTGTTAGCAGTAACTAGATATCCCGTATGTTTCCTTTATTGTCTAGTATCTCACAGTGGACTGGTCCTTGCCGACTGGGATGTTTGTTTAATCATGGAGACCATATAGTGGCTGTGAATGATCTGCAACCCCAGAACGTGGAGGAGGCTTACTTCTTCATCAGCAGGTCCACAAGAAAGGAGGTAAGCTTGCCTAACCTGAAGGTGATAGTCAAACGAATCAAGCCAAATGAGAAAGCAAGTTGCTTTTTGCATTTAAAGTGGCTCCATTCAAACCAGTTTACTCTGTTTTAAGTTTGGCATGAATAACTTCAGTACCAAATAGCTCCTCAGCATCATTCTGATGTAGCATCAGTTATTCCTGGGCTATTTGGGGAATGCAAGGACAGCACTGCTGTGTTTGAGGAGTTGATCTCAAAAAGTCTGAGCAACCCCAAGAGATACTACTGGGCAACCATAAATTAGAGTTACTGGTATTTTTTGGCTAAGGCCCGTGAATTGCAAACTTTGGGAAATAAATTATTGCCTCCAGTGGATGTGTAGTTGCTTATAGTGGTTTTGTGTATTGAGGGCAGAGCTCTAGACTCCTACCTCCTACTGGTTATCAAGCACTACACATCTCTTTGTGTGATACCACTTTTTTTGAAGAATGTGGGAGATTTCTAAATCATGCCTTAACACCACTGTGATCTACGACATGTTGCTACCTATGTTTCTTTCAGATGGACTCATATTTTAGTATCCAGGTTCTCTGTCCCATACCCGAACACATTCATATTTGAACTTTGCTGAGAAAGTTAAGATCAGATGCTTTTGCCATCTAAAGAAAAGAAAGACAGTCTTAGCAAGGAAAAAAATATTTATCTCTCTTAATAGGGGATTTTTATTTAGCTAGTTAAAATACAAGTCAGATGATAGTAGCACAAATGTTGATCAGATATAACAAGATATAAAAATGTCTCGTCTTTTTTTTTTTTTTTCAAGGTGAAACTTACTGTATGTCGGATTCCACATTCAGATATCTTCCATGCTAAAGGCTGTTCATGTTCCTGAAAAAAAAAAATACTTCAATGATTAAGTAAGTGCCAAAGTTCAAGGGAAAATATTGGGGGAAGAATGTGATATATAGTGTATGGAGGTAATCTTTCTCCTTTAGAGCTGCCAGACATCTTTTGTTGCTGAAGTAAAAGAATAGAGAACGTGGATTTCATTTTCATTTTATGTCCTAATAACTTGTTTTGTTGACATGGATGGCATGGGTTTGGCTTGTATTTCTTGTTGGCATGTACTTCAGTTAGTTACATCAAAAAAACTGAGGGTCAAATCATTTATGAAACCTTTGCACTGTGTATACTTTGTACTTCAGCAGAAAGTACTGGTTCATGCTTCTGCTTGCCTCTTTACACTGAGTTACACTGATTTATACTGAACTCCTAATCAGTTAGGGGTGTGGAAACAAACTACATTTGGAACAAAGCCATGTTTTCCCTTGTTTCCACTCAGCTATAGAAAGGCAAAAGCAAGCTGAGAGCTGTAGTGTTGGAGGGAAGACTGGTAAATAAAGTGTTGTGTAGTGATTCAGTGGGGCCTCCTTTTGTGTTATGCCCCTCTTGCGTTACAGCCACAAAAATACATTCAAGGGATGACAGGAAAAAGAGCTGGTTGGAGGAAAGGCATGTGGCTGGAGCACCTTTTTGTTCATTGGCAGCGAAAATAAGCCCTAAGTGAAGAATGAATGAATGGATTTGGGAGAGAGGAGGGCTGACCTGCTCTGTGGAAGTGTTACTGGTAAAGACAGCTGGGAAAACCAGAGGGACAAATGATGTATATGAAAGCATGTGCACTTGGCCCAATGCAAATGGATCACTGAAAGAGTTTTGGTGCTACCAAGTACTACCATAGGGACATCATGGGTACCGCAGCATTTCCAGAGCAAGTGCTTATTTGTTTCCCAAACAAGGATGTTTCCTGTAAATATTTATTTGTGAATGTGTCTTGCTTCCATTGCTATCATAGAAACATGACTGATTTTCAGCTAATATCGCACCAAAAGGTGCTGGTGCTTGATATGGAACTGCCTGCAGGGGTGCCTTTAGTGGATGCCAAAAGGGAACTTTGTCCTGTACTACAATAACCTCTGTTGCTTACAGAAACATGGTGTTTTATGGCACATATGCAGAACACGTACCTATTCTCTATATGGATATGTACACTTTTGTATATATGTGTTTATGTGCAGGTGTATTTACATTCATATATATTGCTGTAAGATAGATTGTATTAATATACAATGATGTGGCAACAAACCGAATCACTGGTTTTGAGTACAGATAATTTTATCTTGCCAGATACAACCAAAATAACTACTGGGTTTAGCAGGCATAGGATTATTGATATTAAGAGATTTATACAAGCTTTGATTAAGGTGGATTTGTCCCAAAGGAAATATTTGTCCCGCTTCCAATTGAATTAGGCCAAGTCAGCTACTACAGTAAGAAACTACACTCATTAAAATCAGCGTTGGTGCCATTTAGTCCAGTAATAATTTTGACAAATGTGCTTTGTATATTTCCTTTAAAATCCAGTCTGGACTTTTAAAAAAATTGTTATAAAATTTTACTTAGCCAAAGATGAAAACAGCATCAGTAACTCAAAACGAACACACACAAATATTTATACAATCTATTCAGACTCAGCTCCTGTTCAAAACATTAATTTCCAGACTGAATGTTTTCACAGCCTGTCTCTTCTGCTTTTGAGGTAAGAGTGTTTGGGACATGCTTATTTCTCAAGGTGGGAAGGATAACTTTTTGGTATTTCTGTTTCAGTGGTGTTCAAAGGCCTGTTTGTGCTGAACTCTGCATAAAGACAGAGGGGAAACCCCAGTCCTGGAACTACAGAGGCTGAAAATGGAAGACAAGACATTCCTTGGGAGCTCTTCTCCAAAGCTGCTATAGGACTCCTTGGCTCTGCACTGCCTCTTTGAGCACAACAAATCCATTTCTGCCTAAGGAGTCTCTGAGGGATGGGATGGCCAGCTATTACCATGCAGGGCTTCTTCCAGCTCTGTAACTGTGTCAGTCTGCTAGGACAGTCCTCTAGGCCTGAATCCTAAAGTCACAGATCATCTAGTTCAAGAGCATCCACTGAGGATGTCACTCTCGACCCTTCCTGCCCAAGGTTTGCCTAAGCTCTTCTCCTGAAGTCTAGAAAAGTCCAAATCTTCCTCTGTTGTTCCAAGACTCATCTCTCTGTATAATTAGGAAGTTTTTCCCTAATACTTATCCTAGATGTTTTTTTTCAGAAAATGAATGTGATTTTTTTCTTGCCCTGTTTTCAGTGGGCATAGGGAATGCTTGATTTCTACTGTCTCCAGAGAAATCTTCATTCTGGAAGGTGTTTTTTCTGCCTGTTCTCCCTTCTCTTTTTTTTCAGACCAAACATCCTGCATTCTTTCAACATTTTTTCAAACATTTCCTGAAAGGTCATATGTCACTGAACTGCGAGACAAATACCTAGTGTTTCCAGTTATGGGTGAACAAAGGAGGTGAGACAGCCGTAAAGCAATTTCCTGGAACTTCATAGAGAAACATTTCCAAAAAGAAGTGAACTAACGAAGAAGCTTGTGAACCATACGTAGTGGTGGGAGGAGAGCCAACACCGTGGAACCTGCACAGAGCATTGCTGCTGAAGCAGGTGTTTAGCAATGCATGCTGCACCTCTCAGCCATGGAAGAATGTTACTTTTGGACAAGAGTAGGATTTGGGTAGATATAACATGCATAGGAAAATGGCAGAATATTTCAGAAAACTGGGGGATTACTTCTGTACTTCAGTAAACAGTTACTGATGTGTTACCCCATAATTGATCATTATGTCAGTTTGCACAATGATAAATGCAGATAATTAATGTCACATATTGGGTGATTCATAACACTTACAGAGATACAATATGGAAATTACATCGGTACAGTAAATTCTGGTAGGGTGTGTGAAGTTGTCTTCCCACATACAATTAATAAATGTTTTAACACTCTACAACACATTGTATTCTGTGAATACCTCACTTCCTTCTGACACAGCCCCTCCTCGTCCTCCAAAAACTACCTGTAACTTCCCAGTAACCTGCAGCTGAGTCACCAAACAGCCCTTTTAAAAAAAGCTATACTTAAAAAAACAAGATCAACCTCATTCTGTAACATTTTCCCCAATGTGAAAATTTTACCTTTCTTCAAATGAGCAAATTCTGCTAAATCTCTGGGCTGCTTCTAGAAGAAACAGCAAAGGGAAACGCCTACATGTATGGTATTACCCAGTGCTCACTTTTAATCCAGGAAGACCTGAAGGGAATGTCTTTAAACCTGTGGCATCTGAGCGGTAATTTTTTAGTCCACCTGTAGGCATTTTAAATGTGTCATGTAAGTACACGCTCTTAAAGAAATAGGTGATATTGTAGCTTCTTGTTGCAGCATGCTCTATGGTGTCAAAATCTTTTCTTAGCTGGTTTCCAGGTACATTTTGGGCTATGGAGGGATCCTGACACGGATGCTTAATTTTGACAGCTGAAATTCAGTCAATCCACAGACTAGCAAATCTATGTAAAACACAGCTGGAAGAAGGCTGCAGATCCCGAACCCTTCTTGCACTACTGACCCCACGAAGTAACCTGCTTGGACGCAGGGGCAGTTGCTGGCTGCAACACACACCACTTTGAATCCCTCAGCATCTGCAAACTGGGTGTACAAGACACACAAAACCCAACCGACTGCAACACAGATTACATGATTAGCTAACAATTAACATGCTCCTCACTAACTCTTGTATTTCCTGTCATTGAATACGGCCAGTGTCTTTAGGTTGTTTTCCTGGCTGTTAATTCGTGGCACATTCCCATGCTGCACTCACTCATTAGTGGCTGCTAATTTTCCCCCCTGAATTCCCAAATATGAATCATGCTCTTTCTACCACTCTAGTACCCTTCTCCAGCAGGAAAATGGCAACTATCCAGGAGAAAAGCAAGTTCAGGAACAGAGAGAAAGTAATGGGAAGAGAAATCTCCAAATTGGTGTGAGGTCACTGAAGTTAAGAAAAATAAAAAGCCCATTGTACAGCAAACACAAACCAGAGCGCACAACTCCCACACTTCCTCTTGAGGACAACACTACCGAGAACTGGGGTTGGAGTCATACACTGACCAAGAGAGCACAAGTCCTGCAGGAGAACAAGTCCAGCACAAAAGGTTATCTGTGCTGTCTGTGTCCATCCTGAACTGAGCCAGACACAAGCTCTCCATAGTGCAGTGTCTGGCTGCAATGCATTATTTAGAGTCCCTCCAGCCTGGGGTACCCAACCAGACATGCTTCTATGTGGCTGGACTTTCAGCAAATTAAGTCAGTAGAGGAGCACCTGCAATAAAGACGGGCGATGTCACCTTGCACACTGGGGAGAGAGCGGATCAGTGGTGAGCTGGGGACACCGGGTGCTTAATCTATGTTTGCCCCAAATTTTCTGGTGACCTCAGGAGAGCCATTTTCTTGCACACACTCAGTAAAATTAAAGAAGTGATTTCAGGCAGATTTGCATCGTGCTATCTCTTATCACGCATACGATCTCCAGCATCACATTCAATACTATGGATTGCTTTCCCTCCCAGAACATCTGCTGGAAACACCTCCATCAGACCTGTATGCTACAGGCGTGGGGACTGGTTCATCAATGCCCCATGCTATGCAGAGACATTGATGTGCCCATTCGGTGCTAAGGGAGAAGCCATCCTTAGTGTCCTGCAGAAATGTGGCTTACCCTCCATCGCCCTTCAGGCAGCACCATCATGAGGGAACATTAGATTAGATTCCCTGCAAGGAACCGGCTTACTCCATCTGTGTGCTGCTTATGGAGAGCTGCACCAAGCAGGGCCTATGGAAATCTTCTCAAATGGATTCATCCAGTACTTCAGGCCCCATCAGGGGACATACTAATATTTACAAAGGTACTTCCTTGCTGGTGCTCCCTTTGTCCGTGCAGGGACTAGAAAGAGAGTGTAATCAATCCTCA